GTGCGCACTCTCTGGATGCCAGCACGGCGGCCTCATTTCCTGTGCCTCTCTCATCCAATCAGGAGCAGTATCTCTCTTTGCGTCCAGAGCTGCGCAACCGGAGTTACGGCGACATCGGCGAGCGCATGGCGTTGAGGAAGCGGCTGCAGTGCCACTCGTTCAACTGGTACCTGGACACGGTCTACCCTGAGATGCAGACCGCCGCCAACGGCAACAAGCAGCAGCCGCTGTTCATCAACAAGGGCCTGAAGCGGCCCAAAGTCCTGCAGCGAGGACGGGTACCTGAACTCACCACACGTTCGCGTCTGCCCCCTGTCACATGACCTTCCTTCATGTTTCCGTCCTCTGTGTCCGCCATCTTCCAGCTACGGAACCTCGCCATCGGACGCTGTCTGGTAGCCCAGGGCCGGGTCAGTCAGAAGGGCGGCGCCGTCGTTCTGCGACCGTGTGACCCCCGAGACCCCGAGCAGGTGAGCACATGACCACACGCAGCATCAGTTTACCGAATCACCGCAGAGATTTGTGATTCCTGGTGGCGGCACGGGCGGAGCTAAAGTACACGTTTGCACAAACGTATAGATGTAACCATGGTAACATCTTCAAAGCAGACGTGACAGCAAAGGCTCGCAGTCATTGGCTAACGACCTGTGATTGACGTCATTAGCCAATGAAAAGCCTCTGTGGCTCAGAGGTCAGCTGAAGGTTGTTTCTCACACACCTCTATCCAATCAGGCTTCGAGTCTTTGCTGGGCTCCGCCCCTGAAGATGCGGACTGTCCCGACCTGCACGTCACGGCTTCATAAACGAGTCAGCGTCTGTCTTCACTGTGACCTTTAACCTTTAACCCTTTACGTGTGCAGGACTGGGCGTACGACGAGGAGGGTCAGCTGATCCTGGCAGGTCTGCTGTGTCTGGACGTGTCAGAGGTCAGGACCTTTGACCCCCCGAGGCTGATGAAGTGTCACGGCTCGGGGGGGTCGCAGCAGTGGAGCCTGGGGGTGAGTCCTCGCAGTGTGGGAGGGGTTTACTGTCATCAGGAGAAGGAGTCAGTGTCACGTGTCCTTCTGTGTTTCCTGTAGAAGTCCAACCGGATCTACCAGGTCTCCGTCGGTCAGTGTCTCGCAGCTGTCTCCCAGCCAATAGGACAGAAAGGTTACGTCTCCATGGCGATATGCGATGGCTCGCAGACGCAGCAGTGGCAGCTGGAGGCCTGAGGAGGACGCCGCGGCGCCGTGGACGGAATGATCTCCGATTCTCACCTGCTCATTTCATGTTTCGTGTTTTTCATTTTAAGTTTGATGTTTCAGTCGCAGAAGAACTTCGCCACGCCGGACGCCATGCCCAGGCATGCCTGGAACTTCTTCAAGGTCCTTTTAAGGACCTGGAAAGTCCTGGAGTCTGCGACTGATTTAATCTGATCGGTGATCTGATGTTTACTTGGTCTGCCTTCATCATGTGACCTCTGAGGCATCTCCGTCCTCAGAGAAGCTTCCTGTAGGGCTTTTATCGTGTTCACACAGGAAGTGCTTCTAAAGCAGCGACAGCACTTCCCGTCCTCCTCAGGTCAAAGGTTGCTGTAAGTCCAAAAGTTTTGCTTCAGAGGGCCGTTAGCTGCAGAGAGCTGGAGTAAAACCGAACACTCGCTGAAGGACTCGGAGCGTCGCTCTCGTGTCTCCTCGCCCTGATGATGCTGACCCGCCGCTCATGCACCAGAACCATATCTGCAGTTGTTTCTAACGAGGAGCTTCCTCGATGAAGTTGGTGCGAGCATGCACGTGAGATCAGTTCTGATGCCACCGATGATAGGAAGGAAGGCGGAGCTTACTTACCGTCAGGGTAATCCACAGTGGGCGCCACAGCCACTTTTCCTCGAGCCAGTTGTTCCCCCAGAACAGGAAGTGCCGCTGTGCTGTCACAGAGGCGCCTCGCTCGTTATCCTTCGTTAACCGTGAAGGTCAGAGTGTTGTAAATGTGTTTGTAGAAAAAAAAGTTAAATTTTGACTGTTTTAAATCTACAGCTACAGGAGAAATATCCGTGCAGATTAATATTTACACAAATATACTGAAATGTTACTGTTTGTTTTAGTAAACCTGCCACTGCTCAACAGCGCCCTCTAGAGTCACACGCTCTGCGTTTCAGCGACATCTAGTGGCCAAACGTGAGACAGCAGCAGAGTGTGATTGGTTAGTGTGAATGATGTAAACAAGTTCAGT